CTGACTGAACGATACAGAATGAAATGCATTTTCTTGATTTTGTCTACAATGTCTAAAATGTTTTACTGATCATAAAGTGTAGGTCATAGCATTTTATGTGAAAACCTCAAATATTTCTTTAATTGTACACAAAGAAAAAAGAAATTTCCTGATTAGAATGCCTTAATTCTGAAATCCATAATTAAAATTATATTTTATTTAGTAAGGTGATGAATGTGAGCATTCATTCAGAGAGCTTGGATGTTTTCAGTGATAGAAGGAATACTCAACGTGCAATGAATATAAAGCATATAATATACTAAGTTTAAAATGTCTAATTAACAAATTTAAAGTAAATCTACATACTGAGGTTTTCTACATAGGTTGTATTTCCTCTATAGAGGAAATCTACTACATAGGTTTTCTACATACTGAGAAGTGAAAATTCATTGATACAGTATTGATTTGTTTATTCCTATAAAAATTTGTTTTAATATAGTATCTTAACTTGTTGTTATTCCTGTTATAAATATCATAAATTAAGCATATTGTAAAATACACTTACCTTATAGCACCTCATCTTGTTAGCAATGTATTTGAATAGGCAATTTTTGTAGAGTATGTAAGAATTAAGTGAGTTGCTTTAAAACCCAATGGCCACTGGAGAATTCAACTGCCAGATGAACTATTTCGCTGATTAGCTAGATGCACTTCGTGGACTGTGACCCAACACATTGACCCTAAGAATATCAGGGCATGATGCAATTTCTGAGTAGAGGGGTCATACTTTTATCTGTCCAGTGAACCATAATGTGTTTGTCGGGTTTAATTAAAAATTATTTGTTTTTATGGATTGCTTACATACGTATAGCCACAAAGCAATCTGAGTAAAAGGAGAAAAAACATATTTTGGAACATAAACAAATGCTTAGATGTAGCTCATAGGTGTATGGTATCTTACATTGTGAATAAATAGTTCCAAATTATCCATTCCTCTTCAACGAAGTTACACCATACTCCTCTGATTTTTTGAAAATAAATCTGTTTCCAGATATAGTTTGTATCATAAAAGATTGACTGCATAATTTTGTTTCTGTTTAAGGGCTTGTCTGTTGAGGAATAGAATTAGATTGCTTTGTTTCAATTTAGAAATCACAAAATGTAATATATATTTTATATGTAGCAATAAAATTGAAGGATGTGACTGATTTGAAAATAAGTGTTGTCTTATCAACTCATGTGTTTATATCCACAATATGAAAACCCATTTATTTTATTTTGACCATTTATCTTTGATTGTCCAAGCTAATCTTGAGAACTGCTAAATTGTTTTCAATGGGATTTCCACTGAAAGATTAAAAGTATTTGGGGAAGCACAATTATGAATACTTCTTTTAAACAATTCTTTTCTACTAGAGGTAAACCTTCAAAAACAATGGGACGAAATCCAACTGCCATGTCTTCACTGTGATCCCAGGAGTCTTTTGAATTCTATAAAGAATCAACAATCTATATTTTCAGTTACGTGATTCTCCATCTTATTTTCATGTAGTATCTGTACCTTTTATCTCCAATAGTATCGCTTTTGTATGTTAATTGTAATTTATTTAAAAGTGTTGCACACCAATAAAAAAAACAACCTAGTAGTGCTACAGAATGGAACAGACTTTCTCATACTAGTTAGTTTTCTAATTTCTTTGGTCTGTTTTCGGACTTGCCAGGTACCAGCCACGCCACTACTTACCAGCTGCTATCTATCACCGATTAAATAATTTTTTTTTTTTTTAATTTTTCAGTTTCCTAATAGTAGAACTGAAATATTACTGTAAGATTATTAAAGAAGAGTGAAACCTCGTCCTATAAGGAAATTTTTGGTGAAAACTTTGGAGCTGTTTTCAAGAAAAGGATAGTAGATGCGAAATTTGAAGCTCTTTTCACAGAAATCTTTTGAATTTTTGAAAAACTTGATTCAAAGTCATTTAAAACACTTCCACTCACAAATGCAATAATTAATTTTGAGCTTATTTTCACAGACAACGTAATTTTTCGAGAAACGCAATAAAATTAAAGCAGACGCAAAGTGAAATCAATTTAGGGAACCTACTTGGTGTTGCTCAATTTTTCAAATTTAATTCCTATGACTATGCAACTCCTAGCTGACTGAAACTGCAAAACCTTATTTCAAACTACCAAAATATACAGCCAGATGTCATCTATTAGCACCACATGTCACAGCGACTGGGGTGTTCATTTTCATTGCTTAGAGCAACATTGTATCTGAAAAAACCTTTATTTATTTTCTCTCCAGTGTATCCTAAAACCACAGAAAATGATTTGTAATTTAACCTCAGTTCCTTGTTGCTTCAGTTGTTCAATCTTTACGACACAATCTTGGGCACAAAGGAAATTATGTTATAAGAGTACACGGAAAATAATGTTTGTCTTTTATAAAGATTGCTTTTTTTATTTACATCTTAATGACCATCAAAACAAAAGTGATATAACTGTTAAAAGTAACAAATGAAAAGAGATTTCGTTAAAACTATGCCCTTACCATTTTCCCTCCCTTTAAAGGGGTGAGGGTTCAATGAAACGGGTCAAATTATAGATTTTCGTATTTATGGCTAAACAAATAGTTCAAACCTTGCTATTTTCAAATATATTAACATATTTCTTCTAGAATGTTTGAAGTCCCTTTAATTCTTATTTAAATATCCTAGTCCTCCTCTTTTTTTGACACTTCATACAAGTATGGCTATTGTAATTTTGTACTGTTGAACGCATGTTGAGTTGTTAATGAATTATTGAAACAGTGTTCATACATTGGTAGCATTGGTCTTTTCCGCTGAAAAGCATAATTCAGAATATGGCACAAGAATGTTGTAGAGAGCAATTTATTAAAATTTATATGATACATTTATTATAATATTGGCAATAAATTGACATTTTTATATAAACATTCTTCACTAACAAAAAAAAAATGATTGTCCTAATACTACCTTTTTTTATTTATATTTTAATTTTTTACAAATGGATTACGTTTGGGGATGTCATGTACATAATGCGATTTGCGGATTCGTGCACAGGTGCGGAGTATTTGTATTATAACCTTATTCATGCATGTATCTATATCTGTGTGTGTGTTGTATTTGTATGTGTATAAATACATCCTGAATAAAAACTAACTAACTAGATGCTAAGATGCTAAAAATTAGGGCCAAATTTACAATTGAAAAAAAATACTAATTATGTTTTAGTCATATAAAAAATTGTTAAAATAATAACAACAATGGATGCATTTTAAGTGTGCAAAGTACCATAATTTTGTGGTTAACTATTTTCTAGCAAAAATCCATCAATAATAGCAAATTTAACATAGTAAATAATACGGTTATACATGGTACTCACTCCTCTTAGAGCAGAACTCCAGAGCACACACTTTCAGTTTTTCCCAAATATCTCAAATACAGTGAGGAAATTCATCAAAATGAACCCTCATTTTCTAAAAGCTTGTAAAGTTTCCTACAAAATGCATTTTGATTAATTTCAATATCCACTTACATTCTGTGTCAAGGTCAAAGTTGGGAAGTAGTTCCAGGGAACAGGGTAGGGGTAGAGGGCAATGACTGGGTTGGCAGGTGGGATGGGGTAAATCAGTGTAAGGCATTGTGGAGGTGTAAATTAAATATTATGCATGTGTATTTACTTTTATTATATCTTTTCTACATTGATACAATTGCATCACAGAGTAAATAAATATATTGCATGGTATAATTATTCATTTCAACACATCCTCAGTTAGTGCCACAAAAACAAACAATTTACTCATCAAATTAGTATGTTTTTTATATAAATCATAATTAACATCTTAAGACATTATATCCACTTCTAATTCATATGTTCATTTGTGACAGAGTGTAAATTTCATTCTCTCTATTTTGTCTTACAAAATGCAATTTTCTTGGTATATGTTTACATCGGTGTAATTTTCTAGCGATGAGTTCAATCAATGGCTGGTTTACTGTTGGTCTTTCTCTTGCCTGGATAACTATCCATTTTACAAGACCTCGTTCATCAAGTTACAGTTGCTACCTATTTACCTTTCTCAAATAACTGAGTTCTGCTTCCATAGAAGACATTGTAACTTTTTTATTCTTCACTTCTCCAACTTAGTAAATTATATATTTCCAATTTCCACAGTGTATCCTGTGTACAATTTTGAATTGAGTTATCCACCAACTTCCCTCTGAGTTTAAAATAAGGGATTTTAATTTTTTCAATATTTAATTTCACCTGTTTAGTCCTCTGTAAAGACGTAAAAATTCTTTTCATTGCTTGCAAATATATTTTTTGGATTGTTTGTGTATTGCTACATTTTATTCTCAGAATATGCTAAATCCAGTCTTGTCTTGGCAACAATATAACTAAAAATCCCAGTATTTCTTGATGTAATTAAAAATCAACTTTTTCAGAGTTATCAAATTGTCTGAATTCATGCCCACAACACCAGTTTTCAATGAACTACATTCATTCATAGAATGTCTTTATAAAACATCACATGCAAATTTATTTTGTCCTAAAGTATAACCATTTTTTATTCCAAGAAATGTAGTTTCTTCATTTGATTATTTGATATTCAACTACTTTCTTAGATTAGTGAATAATTCTTTGATTACTTTGCCTTCTCCCATTAGAATACAATGGAAATACCCAATATAAAAATACAAGGATAATTTATACTTGGTTTCATTTCACATGATTTTGACCGAGAACAAAATTCCAAAAGCCAGTGATGTCAACATTGAGGCAATCCATAAAACTTTTGTTTAATTTTAACATGTTTCCTTCTTTTGCAGATGATCTCATATCTCAATTCTTTTTCCTTTTTGTAATTACCATATTGTATATTTTCATGGATTTTGAATTGTGAAAGACCAGCTTTGTAAATGTCAGTTTGTTGTAATTCATCAATAAATCAATTTTTCATTTTAATGTAAATTTGTTTCTGAAACCTTTTCCAGAAAACCTCTTCTACAATTAGATTTTTTAATCGAGGTGATTATTATACTGTTCATGGAAGTGATGCTATCTTTGTAGCAAAAGAACTCTACAAGACCACAAGTTGTGTTAAAATATATGGCTCTGGTGAGTAATTGGTAACTTAAGTTGTATGTATATAATTTATTCCCAGAGTATTGGATTAGTCCTTGTGGAAATGTTTGTTTAATGTGCTCTAACTCTTTACTCCCAGAAAACAACACTCTTGAATCACTGTCCTTAAGCAAATCAAATTTTGAGTCTTTTGTCCGTGAATTGCTTTTGGTGAAACAATATCGAGTAGAAGTTTACGTAAACAAGGGAAGAGTTAATGCTGACTGGGTAGCAGAGTTCAAGGTCAGTAATTTATATTTTTGGTTTCTTTTTATCATATGTGCAAAAGTCCACTTTTGTTAAAACAAACGTGTTTAAGTTGGATGAAAAATTATTGGTATAGGACAATTGGATATCTATTTGAAAACTGCTAAATAAAGGTTTCTTCAATTTCTTAATTACACTGTTTTAACCAAAATAAACCAAAGAATTTGTTTCAGTTCTTAAAGTACAGAACAATAATAAATATTTTAAAGAAATACATTTTTTTAGGGTTCTCCAGGTAATTTGCAACAATTTGAAGACATTCTGTTCAGCAACAATGAACAAATGAACAGTACTGCTGTCATTGCAGTAAAAATTGGAGGTGAGGGGAAAAATAAGGTAATATATTTCTCTAGAAGGTATAGATCAGTATGTTTTTCTTGTTATATTATGAAAATATTGAAAAAACATCTTGAAACATTGATTTTACATTGATACAAAATAACACACTGATTTTTTTCACTTTGTTTATGTTGGAATTATGGACGGCTCGCACCCCAGTCTGTCGAGGCACAGATCTTTCCCTGATTACAGGCGGATTCTGGCAAATTACACCTCGTGATGCACAACATACTGTTAGCACACACCAAGCCACATACATTTAACTTGACAGTCACAGACACAGTAGGGCTCTAGTCAAAGAGAACACAGGCTCGATATATCGACAGGCACTCTCCTGATGGCATTGTATCACCCTGTCGATAACTCCAACAGTTTATAAATAGTTTCAATTAATTTTCGTTACAAATGTGAATATGACACGATTGTTCCCATTATTGTGTTCTGATGGTTGATGTTCTTTTGTTTGTTTTTCCATACCTTTCAGGTTGTTGGTTTGGGGTATGTAAGTGTGTCAGACAAACAACTGTCAGTTTGTGAATTTCCTGATGATGATCATTTTACCAACTTGGAAGGTCTCCTGGTTCAACTGGGACCAAAAGAATGCTTATTACCAGCAAGTGAATCCAGTCAGGATTACAATACCATTAAAGAAGTAAGAAAAATGTTAATTTTATTTTGTGTACAAAATACTTGCACCTAACCCATCAGGTTGCAAGTTTGTAGTGTAATAGTTCTTACTCCTCACAGAATATTATTAATCTATTGAATGGAAAGGATTAAGGAAGAAGGAAATTATTTTATTTATTTAATTAAATAATGGTAGCAGCAAAACAAGCTTATATACTGTGACATACCAAAAATAATCAAAATATTTCAGGACTCTTGTTATTTTGGGAAAAGACAGTACATATATGAACCCTTTTGTAATATGTATCTATGGGGACGCCGGCAAGGTAAAATAAATTAGATGACGTCAGAGTAGATAGGGGCCATGTAGCAAGGCTGATAGGCATGTGTGGTAGGTAGCGCTGGTCGGGTCTAAAAGAATGTAATGATTATTAATGGCATTTTTGTCTGTGATTCATGTAAGATTGTTCCTCGCTACTCAAAATAGTAAGGAACAGAGACCCATATTGCCGGCATTGGGTATGCGATAGTGATATTAGGACATTGGAGTGGACAAAATAGAAAGAAAGATTATTTTTGTGGCAACTTTCAACCAAGAAGAAGAGAATATTGAAAAAAAAAATATTTTCAATAATTTTAGAAAATATTAGATAGAAGTCATGACGGATTTAAAAAATTACGAGCTCAATTAAGTTTTATAAAATTATTATTATTATTATTATTATTATTATTATTATTATTATTATTATATGGACAAGTAAGAATACAAGAAAAAATTTGCATGTAGAAACATAATTATAAAAATAGAAACATTTTTAATGACAAAAATATTCAGTAATAACATATGAAATATATCTGGTATAACAGTAACTCTACCATACCTTCTCATTCAAATTTCAAGATTGTGTTGCTAGTTAGTGATAAGAAGCAGATTTATCTGTTTTACGTATATCAATATTCAAACTGTTGTCTGATTTACAACATCGATTTATAACATTATTTGCTGTGTGAGATTGATGGTAAAATCTAATATCAATAATATCTTTGGTACTAGAATTAAAGTTAGGTGTTTTGTACACTATCCAGTTTTGCAAGATTTTGCAATCTACCTCACCCAATATCAGTTTTCTCAAAAACAACAAGTCATTCAAGTCTCTCTGAGAACTCAGTGAAGGAATGTGCCATTGCAGAGCCAAGTTAATATATTCATGTTTTATATCCGGATCTTCCTATCCCAAAGCATAGGCTGACATTCTAAAAAAATTGTGTTCGACTGTTTCAATTTGTGATTTGTATTTGGAAAAAAACTGAGGCCAAACTGCAGAAGAGTACATCAACATAGACTTCACCAGCATGAGATAGGGTGATCTCCAGACCACTACTGTGTGTAGTTCGTGGCAGAATCTTTTAATGAATCCCAAGACTTGGTTCGTGATCAAAATCATGCCCAGATCTCTAATGGTATGGACTCTCTCTAGTGGAGTGAGATTTATCATATATTCAAAGGTTTCATTAGATCTAGATCTTGAAAAAGTTATTGTTTTACATGTCGTGATATTGAGAAAAAGTTGGTTCTTCACGCACCACACATATAAGGTATTTAGAGTGATTTGCATGCTTTTGAAGGACTCTTGTCTTCATCAGATTGGATTTTTAAAAAAAATTTAAGGTCATCAGCAAAAAGCATATACTTCACGTTCAATATACTGTCGCATATGTCATTAATACAGATGTTAAATAAGAGAGAACCTAAGCGTGACCCCTGAGGGACGCCTGAAGATGCCTCTATAGGATCGGAAACAATACCCTTATATGAAACCATCTGAACTCGATGAGCCAGGGTAACTGTGAAACCACTCTAGTAACGGTCCACTGACCCCACCATTTCAGTTTAACTAGCAAAATCTTGTGGTTTACTGTGTCAAATGTCTTGCTAAAAACTTCTATATACAATCAACTTGATGTTTGTGTTTCTTAGCTTCAAGTATATAACAAGAGTAATTGGGCAAATTAGCTTCTGTATTTCTACCAGGCATAAAACCAAATTGTCTATCTGAAAGAGGTGGATAAATATCAACTCCGATTTTATCCATAATCAAGGATTCAAAAAGTTTTGGGGTAACACTCAGAATGGAAATTGATCTGTAATTCTTGATGTCATTTCTGTCACCAGACTTACAGATGAATAGTATGAATGAAGACTTCCATTCACTCGGAAAAATGCCCTTGGTCAAAGACTTTCCAAATAACAATCTGAGAATTTGTGTGAAAATGAATTTACAGTTCTTCAATAGTATAGAGGGAAGGCCATCTGGATCTGCTGAGCTCTGTTTCCAACTTTTCAATTCTGCACAATATGTCAGCTGCACCAATTTTCAAACCAGATAGTGCCAGAGGATACTCGGATATTTCAACTGGTCCATCATCAATAATGGCATTAGAATTCTTGTAGAAAGATGAAAAATATCTCATTATATCAAAATATCGCTTCATATTATGTTCTCTCTAAGACTCTGATCTGAAGCTCTTGTAAAGTCTCAAATTGGGGTATGTAGAACCCATGCAGGATCAGAATTTTGTACACCTCCACCATATCTCTTCTTTTGCTCCCGTACTCAAACACAAACCTTATGAAGAAAATTTATTTTATTGGTTGCATGGACCACATTGTATTAATTTGTGTCAGGAACAAACAAGAACAAAAGATACTCAGAACCAGTATTATTTCCTAAAGTAATTTTTTTTTTTTTCCTCAACACATTTTTAGTTATATGTATTAGTTTTTTTAACTGTCTTGTGGCTTGAAAATGAGAAAAATCACTTCACATTCACCTGTGGTATATCTTGTTGTGTCCATAATTCAAAATAGAAGTCTCCTGCACTCAACTTACATTATTGTTTGTGAGCTATCCTAAAAGTATACGTATTTACTCTTTTGGCATCACCTAAAAAACACAAACTTGAATCACCCATTTTTTCCTGAATATTGCGTTAACTCATTGTTCTCAAAAGCTCTAGTATATCTGTTACCGCATAACACAATTTTCCCCAAATACAGCACCTTAGGGGGTTGATCATTGTAATGCGAGTAGAGCTGGCTATTAGCCGGCAAAGTTAAGGAGGGATAGCAAGCTTATTCAGCATGCCAAGGTGAGGACAACAGGTGAGCTTATTCAGCAGAGGGCTGGCGAACTTATTTAGAAGGATAAAGCAAGGAGTTGGGGAGATTATTAGCAGACCAATGCGAGGAGGGATGCCATGCTTATTTAGAAGGGATGAGTAGGGAAATACGTGACATTTGTTGTCCTGATAAATAGTGAGAGGAGTGGAGAATAGTGAGAGTTTTGTAGATGTATGTCCACAACAAAGAGTCCCTTAAAACTATCTTTCAGGTTCTGTTTGTGATTGTGGACCTATTTCATCTGTTAGTAAGAAGAAAAAAATGGTATTCACTAAATGGTTTAATCAGACATCTTCATAATTATGGTTATTTTTAATAGAATTCTGTTTCAGGATGGTTTTGTACGTATAAAATTTGAATTAAACTTTTTTTTTTTTTTTTTTTTTTTTTTTTTTTAGGTAATGGAAAAATCTGGAGTGATGGTGACACCCAGGAAAAAGAATGAATTTACCACTACAGACTTGGCTCTTGACCTCAATAAACTTGTTCATTTTCAAGAAGGTCAACAAGATAATGCGATGGCATTACCTGAAATGTCCCTTCAAACTGCTATGGCTGGAATAGCTGCTATTATTAAATATTTAGAGGTAATATTATTGGCAAGATTATATTTTCCCACCTTCCCCTTTCCTTCTTTTCTTCCTTTTATCTACATATTACATACTATAATTACATAAAGCTGTACAATTGTATATTTTCAGAAATGGATGTTTTTAAAACATAATGACTGATGATAATTGTTATAAAACAACTAATAACACCACAAATTAGAGATAAAAGTAATCAAAATCAGAGCTCGGATTCTGTTGGCCTAAAAATTCTTTGAAAATTACCTATAAAATTACTTAAAAATAAGGGGAAAGGCCTATAAATAATAAAACGCTATACTCAAAAATTTGTATGCAAATGTTTACTTATTCAACTAATTTTGCAATTTTAAATTAATATGAAGTATTTATTTTAGGAGGAAATGCAATATGTAATCCGTTTATGTATTTTTGTATTCGTATTTATGTATATTTATGTTTCCGTAATATGATGTTGTTGGAGGTGGTGTTTTTCTTCTTTTTTTTTGTTTGAAAAAATCTACAACAAATGATGATTATTATGTATAAGGGGAATTGTTCTCACATTATTCAGCATGAGTATTACAATAGATGACTGTGATCATGCATAGATTATTGAATGAGAATGAACCTAAATATCCGCCAGCAGATTCTTGTACATGGAAAAGCTTATTTCCACATCAGCTTGTGAAACAGAAGCATTGAAGTGTGGTAAATTCCTCTTGAGTGCTTTTCATTACAAAATCTCTCCCTAACACTCAATTAATGGAGCACAATTTTTTATATCCATAATTCCGGATTCCGATACCTTCCTTTCTTCCTGAGAACTGAGAGGTCTGTTCATACTTCCATGCATTCCTTTGATGCTAGTATCTTGGGGTAGAATTGTGACCCAAATGGGAACCCTGAGGAAGTCTTTGAGTCTTTCAAACAATGTCAAAAATTTAACTTGTATGAAAAATCTTAGAACAAGAAGTATTTGAAGGTTGTCCTTTCAGGTCTGTGGAGAGAAAACATATGAAAATGTATTTTCTGTGAACACTTTGGATTTGTCACGTTACGTCCACATGGATGCTGCTGCTGTCAAAGCTCTGAATATTTTTCCTCCCTCCTCCTCAACTCCTGCAGATGCAAATAACAGCATTCTGGGATTGTTAGACAAATGTAGAACTCCTCAAGGCCGCAGGTAAGGATCATATCTGATTTTCTTTTGCACGAAGTCTTGTGAAAACAATATTGAACCTATGAAACAATTGGGGATGTAAGAACCTAGAGAGGAAAAGTTGATTTTGAGGAAAAATATGTTGAAAACTATCTAATAGTGTTACTTCATTGTTTTTTTTGATGGATAATGTTTTTTTTATTCAGGTTAATCTAAGATATTTGGAGTTCATCATCCTTCATTTATGTTAACTTAATCTCTCCAAGATATTTTAAAACTATATAAACAGTTTGCATTTGGGCCTATCTAACGCAGAACAATGTTTTATTTGTTTTGAATGAAAGAAAAATTTTCCTTCCTTCTGGGTGTACCTGGCAATAGATAAACTTTATTCAAAATAATATTTACATGCAAAATTCTGTTGTTAAAATTTAGTTTATTGAGAGAATGATTAAAAGCATGTTGGAAGTAAACTACACAGGCTCTTTGAAATCGTGTGTGTTTATATTCTAAAAATGGCTTCATTCACACACGTACACATTCTCATGTGCTTTTGTCATGATTTGTATAAATCTTACAATTTTATTTTTAATTACTATATTGGGACAATGTAAATCATTTGTGAAAAATATAACTAACCACCAAATGCGTGCACTGAACTGGCAATTGAAAGGATTAACAGCTGGCGCTCTAGCCTTTACACCTGCCAGAACAACACATTTCACAAAACCATGCGGTCTTCAGCAATGCTCAACTGTTTTAGAACCTGTGAAAGAAATCATCTACAGGCTAGAAAAGATATTAACAAGTGTCCTCTTAGGCCGTGTTTGCTCATCTTTTTTGTTTGTAAAGACATCTGCTTTCTTCAGACCGCTTGTATTGTGTTCTTTTGCTGGCTTTGTACACATGAACTTTTCACTCTTCTATCAAAGCCCTGAATATATTTCTCTCTTCAACCAAGGACTCAGAGGCTCTGGTTAGGTCATTTTTTCAGCATTTACTTTTGATGTAGTAGGTTTCCTGGAAACAATAGGATTGAAAATTTTATGAGATATTCCGGTAGCAGAAGTATGTAATTCTGAAACATTCCATAAAACATTAAAATGCCCTTTTTCACAGAAAGTAATAGTCTAGTCGTGTATGAGGGCCCAACCAGCAGCTGCATAAAATTCTTCCAGACATATTATGGTTTTGTTGGGGCTAAATTTGGTCCACCACATGATATGTGTTTATCAAAATTAATAATGCATTATTCTTTTGACTTTTTGTAGCATTTAAGTACCATTTAATTTTTTTCCTTTTCCTTTTTATTTAGATTATTAATGCAGTGGATAAAACAACCTTTGCGGGATGTAAATGCAATTACAGAAAGACATGATGTTGTGGAAGTTCTCATCAATAATCCTGAGACTTTCAATAATATGTATGAGAAACATCTTTGTCAAGTTCCTGATTTTCACAATCTATCTAGAAGATTACTTCATCGCAAAGCAACATTACAAGAATGTTATCGGTTAGTATGCAGTTCTTTGTAAATGAATTATTCAAGTGTGTAATAATCTACAAGAGTGACATCCAGAAAGATGAATTATTGCTATTAGAATTAATTTAAGTATTGTTTGGTTAAATTCATTGTTACTTTCATTTTCGTTGTAGTAGTTCTAAGCTTTTACAGGGAGTCAACCTTTTGAGGCTGAGATCATTGAGGTATAGTGAAATGTTTTTCTCCCCTGTTCTTTACAGAATATACCAAGCTGTAAGTACTTTACCTGAGATGGTGACTACATTGAAAGCTCCCCAAGTATTAACTAAGCTTCAGGCCGTATTTGTTGAACCTCTAGAAGAACTACTGGGAGACATGGAAGGTTTTAAGAAGATGATTGATTCTACATTAGATATGGAAGAAGTTGAAAAGGGCAATTACCTCATAAAATCTTCTTTTGACCCTGATCTAGAAGGTAGCGTTCTTTTATCTTCAGCTAAATTTTTTCTACAGAAATGTTATGGTACGAAAATTAACATATCATCTTTCTCCTTGATTGTGGAACATGAAAATGATAAAGTGCACACAAATGTGTAACATTTGTTTGTTCCTGTTTATCTGTTGAATTACTCAACTAATCGAACTCATCCTGAAATACATAGTGTATAATGCATTTTTGTCTCAGTGTGCATAATATTGGTAGTGCTCTCTGTAGCAGTTGTTGATTTCAGAGATGTCCATGAAACTATTAAATAATGCTTTAAAAAAGAAAAATGAAATAATTGTTGTGTTAGGTATTGGGAGGAATCTGAGCTGTATAATGATTCTTAATTTATTATGAATTCAAGGTTCTCTTTTAAGGAATAGTGAATACCATCATTGTTTAATTAATTTTCGATGCAATCTAAGGAAAAGCTTATAAAGAATCCGTCAGCAAACATGATCTTTAATAAAATTTATTTAGGACTCAAACTTTAGTTGTGGGTTGTAGATAAAAGTGTTACAGTTATTGGGGTTTTTATCTGTGAAATGTATTTCCAACAGCTGACTTCTGGCATTTTTATCGAAATTGAGCTGTCAGTGTTTTCATCTTTTGGGATGTGAATTGCATCTCATGATTGCTCCTTCGAAATATTTTATTATTTCCTAGAGAAATAACTATGGAAAGTTTGAGGTACTAATTTTTAAGGTCATCACTAAATAAAAGGGGTAATTTTAATAACAAATGTCAAGTTATTTAAAATAACTTTCAAATGTCTGCCCATAAGCAGTAGATAATTTGAATTTGGCAATGCCAGAATAGTACCTTATTGATCCACAATCTGCAGCATGCGTATTGCAACACCTTATTTCCATCATGATGAACATAATGGCAGTGAGTAGTGTGGTGGCTCCCCTGTTGCATGAATTGGTAAGTTCTCAAAAGCTAAAGAAACCGGAAGAGAGGAAACTTCAAGAAATGTAATAGAAGGGTAAAAAAATAGTGCTTTTTAATCATTATTTTAAAAGTGAAAATAGTTTCACACTGGAAACTAATTTCCACTGTTCTGACAGTCCATTCTATGGGGTGAGAGAACCTTCCAAAAAATAGAATGTCCAGAAGTCTTTATTTTGTATAGAAAATATAACTCTTAATACTTTTTGGGGCATGTAAACTTGATTTTCAGGCTCTAAGATATATCGTATGCGAGTTGTGAATGAAATTAAAGGAGGGGGGTAACATAATGTATCTTATGGTTTGCATGTGCTCCTGTTTTCTCACCTAGCTATAATCTGCAAATTTCTATGATTTTTGTTTCAAATCTGTTTGTTCAGAGGGGTATTTCCTTATCTAGCAGTAGTGTAATTATGTTTTGTATTGATTTTTTATAAATTAAAAAAGAATTTTTCCTTCGTGTATTCTATGTAGTGATGATTCCTAAAGAAACTGCCGGGAAAATCAAAACAAAAGTTGATGAGTTTTCTCAGTGTTCTTCTCTCAGTAAACTACCTTGGTCATGAAGTTAATATCCCTGGCCAACTGAAGCTTTTCTAGCTTCCATTGGTATCTTCACTTCTTTTAAACTTGGATAAAAATAGACTCTAGACACAATTATTAATTCAAGTAAGGTAACTATGAAATGAATATGATTGGCAAGTATATTCTGAATGAGGTTTTTGTTAATGGCATATTTATTATTTTTAGAATACCGATCAACAATGGACGCTGCTTTGAAAGACATGGAGAACCAAGTTCCAAAAGTGGCATCTGATTTGGGGCTTGAAGCTGGCAAGTCGGTAAAGCTCGAATCGAGCCCTCATCTTGGATATTACTGTCGAATTACCCTCAAGGTAATAATTTTTTATTGCACAATTGTTAATTAAAGTACACATACAATAAAGATAATAAAAACACCCTTCAATAAATAATTAATCTGATTGTAACTTGGAAAGTGTTTTGCGACACTGTAACAAAACTTGACGTAATGAACCCTTACTGCACTCAACCCTAGAATGCTCAAAGGCATTGTTTCAATACCGATGGCATGTTCTGATATGTTTTTTTGGTTTTTGTCTTGAAAAACTCAATTTTTTACAAATTAATTTTCGCCTTGTATTAAAGGGAGAGCATGCAACAGAGACACTTTTGCCATTTGTTGGTTTAATTAGGCCGCTATTTTAGCCCATGAGTAACATATTCTGCTCATGGGTGTTAATTTGAACAAAGTTGGTGATGTCTAAGTCTTCCATGCCTGTCATGCGAACGATTTTGGCTGTCTGACAGCGTGTTCAATACTGAAGTGCCAATGTATTGACATCTTATTGTGGTCTTCCTCAACTGAAGTGCCGTGGCGTGCCGTGCCATGCCTTGCGTTGCGTTGCATTGCATTGCGTGGCGCTGCGTTGCTTTGTGTTGCGTTGTCATTTGCTTTGTATAATTGTTTCTTATTCAGTTCAAATTCATCTCTCCTTTTGGGAAAAGTGTTGGCTTCTTCAAGTTCTGATAAATAATTTTTATTAAGTAGACGAGTTTCTAGATTTTGTATACTGGAGGTCTTTGTACTGGTGAGATTCAGTGGATTTTGTGAGGTATCCCTGAGGATGTTTTAAAGGAATCTGAAGAAAATAGCATTGAGGAGAGGTTGGACAATGACTAGACAGTTTCAGCTAATAGGGAAGATGCCTTGACAAACATTGATTCTATGTAAAGAAAATATTTCACTTGGTTCACATAAAAAATTTTCAGCTGATTGATTAGTAAGTTCGTAGTAATTGATTAGTAAGATATCGTATATAAAATCAAGCATGTTGTTTGCTTTGGGTATTTTGTATCCTTGACAAATTAAATATTTTATTCATAATATGAATGATTATATAATGTAAATTAACAAGAAGGTTACGAAGGAAAGTGAAAGCAGTAAAACAATAAAACTAATTTATCGTTACTACAACAGATGAAAATACAAGAGGGTCAAAACAACACCTGTGGGTGGAATTAGTCAGGATAATAATCCCAGGCATTCTGGTTTTATGTGCAGCTAATTATTCATTGCTTTAGTACAATGTCTGTATAGCAAAATTCACTCTGAACAAGTGTCGCAAATAAATTGCCATCTGTTACTATGGAAATATCAGCAATGATGATTAAGAACAAGCAATAATGTGAATTCGTTTTTATTAAAAATATCTGATACCTTAATTAAGACAATCTTGTTAGATTTTTCGCTAAAAATGATCTGTAATAGATTTGTCATTGGAATGCTTGTATCATTTGTAGCCTGTGCTCCTTTCATCACTCAAATTACAATGTACACTTTTTCATTTTATGTATTATTATATATTTTTACTTGGTTTGTACCTAATCATGCCACACCATTCAGCAATTGACTGCTATCTCGATCTTCTGCTCGTGCGCAGATGCACAAAAGTGATGCAAAATTCAAACTGTGCATGTGCCCAAGATCAATAGTGCTGTTGATTGCTGTAGCGTTTCACAGTACAAAAACTCCATAATGTTAAAAGTATTCCTTTTAACTTTCTTGTATACTACTATATACTAGTAGTAGTTGGCAGTCAAGCGCTGCAGCCATTCTCTGTAATAAATTTTAAAAAATTAAATTTCAAAATATCGAATTTTCGTTTAACCGATCAAAATGGTGGTGAAGTATGTAACTTACGTTTTTTGTTTTTTAAACAAACACACCTGTTTTGAACAGTCTGGGATTTAGCATGTGATCTTTTGAACAACAGAACCTTACATCTTGCGGAGAATGAGAATGTTGTGCACATTTGCAAAAATGTAAGGAAAGTTTTAAGGCAATTATAAACTTTAATTCACTAAACTTCACTAAAAATTTGTCATTTTTAGAATAATTTTGATTTTGTTTAGTAATTACTGATAACTGTTTTTCATAGTGAAATTACAGAGATGATAGATTAGTAATATATACCCATGTATTGCTTATATTTACTGTTTGTTTTACAATGAGTGAAACATGTTACAAAGTTTATCAAGTTAAATGTGCTGAAAAATTGGAGAAAGTGAAAGAAATTTGTTTCATAAAAATTGTCTGTACTTACATGTACTTGGATATGAAAAATATATTTAAATGATAAGTGCAGTCCTTTTTTTTTTTTCTTGCAAACAACATAACACCTAAAAATATTGGTGTAATTGAATCATTTTCTGAGTAATTTCTTTTTAAATATAACAATGAACCTACACTGTTTATGATGTGTCTTTTCAGGAAGAAAAAATTCTACGCAATAAAAAGCAGTATGAAATAATAGATACAAGTAAAAGTGGTGTTCGGTTTCGCAATGCTAAGATGAGTCATTTAAATTCAACTTACCAAGAAGCATGGTCCAAATACAATGAACAACAGAAGTCTGTAGTCACTGACCTCATTGATGTTGCAGGTGTGTTATACTATGTTAAACTAAGTTTATCTGCAATTTATTAATCGCATATATATATATATATATATATATATATATATATATATATATATATATATATATATATATATATATATATATGCATGCGATAAATTATAGCTATTAACATACCTTGTAATTTAGTAATTTTATCAATTGTTATGAATATCATTACAGCAGAGGACATACAGAGGAAAATGCTTTTGTTGAAATGGGTCTTTTCAGGTATTCAAGTACAGCCTAACTCTCTCAAGTACAGCCACATGCATCTTCAGATATTTCAGAAGCCAGAGCTTGCATTTTTATCATTTCCAGAGAAATATTACTTTCAAAACATGTCTCGTATTTCTGTTTGGTTCCTTTACAAAACAAAAAAAATACGAACTTGTAATTTAAAATTTGTTGAATTTCTTGTGTTCTTCTGAATGTATTAGTATTATTATTATTTGTGTATCGGCCAATTGTGACCACGCTACATATTCTCTTCCGAGGCCCAGTCATATTCTATCCCAGAGAGAGATTAATGTGTGTCTTTGTCAGCTTTTTGGCTCTATCCCTTGGTAAGACATGGTTGTTTTGCCTTGAATTGTGAAACGTGAGGTGATAGGATGAAGATATGATTATTATTGATTTCATTGTTATTCTTATTAGACTTTCCTTTTTGAAGTGCCTGTTTAAGTCTAATTTTTTTTCTTTCTTTCTTTTCTTTTTCCTTTAGCGAGTTATGCAGAATCTTTACATAGTCTTGGAAATGTCACAGCGCAATTGGATGTACTTACTAGCTTTGCTAATGTGGCAAAAGCTTGTCCTCAGAATCCATACGTTAGGCCTGTGATGCATGAAATGGGATCAGGAGTGTTGTCATTGAAACAAGTTCGACACCCATGCATTGAATTATCTGTTCAGTTCGTTGCTAATGATGTCTACTTTAAACAAGGTAAGAGAAGTGTTCTGAGAAAACACTTATGTGATGTTTTTGAATTGCAAAGGTTTTGATACTTTGCAAGATTCTTGTGAGCCAAAGTTTTGATCTTAGAAGTAGCAAATAGATTTTTTTTTGTTTTTTTTTACTTTAAAGCAAGTGTCTGTATGTATTTCTTTGTAGGTGAATGCACATTCAGCATCATCACTGGACCAAACATGGGAGGCAAGAGTACATATATACGATCTGTAGGTGTGATTGTCCTTTTAGCTCAAATGGGCTGTTTTGTGCCTTGTGAAAGTGCAGAAATTTCTGTTGTTGATGGCATTTTAGCTCGAGTAGGGGCTGATGATTGCCAAGTGAAGGGAATGTCAACATTTATGAAAGAAATGGTGGAGACATCCAGCATTCTAAGAGTGAGTTCATTTTCTTGGTACATTTGAAAGATATTTATGAAACTGCAATTTTCCTGGAAAAGTAATTAGTAGTAATAATATATAGATTACAATTAATTGATAAACGCCAATTTAACTGATAGATGTAAAGACTGCAATTCAGCCTATATGCAAGAGAATTTCATGCCAGTCAAACTGTCAAAACAAATTTCTTTCTACTCAGCTTCTTTGCTAGTATAATACTCTGTCTTATTTCTGTTGTGCTTTTATTGTCTTCTGTGAAAGTGTGTATCTATATACAGACTGCAACATCACCCCTTGTTGGTCTACCGACAATTTTGGGTTGTAGGAATGATCTCTTTGTGACACTAGATGTGATGACAACAGCTGGCGTGAGAGACATGACATGTAGCGACTGCTATGATGCAAGTTTGTTTTTTGTTCATCCAAGATGGTGGAAAACTTTTGGGATATCTTGTATACACGTATATGTGAAGACAGGCGAATGACTTCATCACATTGCTTAAAATTTCATTAATTGACCCCATTCCTGACACCATTTGTACTTGTAGGTTCAATTAGTAAAGCACATGAAACATTACATTTTAAAAATCACGTGTTCATTACAGTTTATTCCAGATGTGTCGTGGACAATATTAAACAACTGATATTGACAAATAATGGTTAATATATTGGACAAGTTAATCTCGCAAATGTGGCACGCTCAATATTAAAATATACAAACTTAAACCCGCATATATTTAAACATTTAGTCCACTATGGGACCTTCTTAGGTATAGATTAAGCCAAACGTAGGCAATCACGCTGCCCTACTTTGGCATAGGCAGCCATTTACATTGTAACGTTTCTTAGTGGTGAATTAAAGGTAATATTTTAACAAAGACATTTTTTTTCTTAATGGTACACTAAAATACTTGATTTATTTACAAATAGGTTGCATAGTCCTTGTGTTCTTCACTTGCTTACTTCCTTACACACGACGCACTTGTCTTAATTATTTATTTACACTGTTCACTCCTACACTATCGCACTGTCCGATGCACTGTCCACAATTCATTGCGCTGGCTACAGTTCACGGTGCTGATCAGGGTCCTCTGCACTGCTATTCACCTACTGTTCACCGCAATGCGCACTTCACAGCTCAGTTTCCATTTCAGACTTCAGACACGCCATACTCACCGACTTGACTTAGGCAGCGGCGAATTTATACTTGGCTGCCCCTCCCCCTTCCCCTCTGGACCCTACCGGAACTTGCGACATACGCGACTCGAGATTAATCCGGAACCGGCCAGTTCGGGGGGCGCCGGCAGACGTCCGCACTATTCGCGCAGCGAATCCCGGCAGATGATGCAATATTCGTTACAATATGTGAGTGATGAGTAATCAGTACTGCCGCATGTCAATGTTCCCGTCCAGCTCCCGATCGACTCTCCTAACTGGATCCTCCAGAGAGCGGACTAGCCAGAGTCTGAGCGGACCTTCAGTTTAATTAATGAGCCTTTCGAGAGTTTTGGTACAGTGACCTCCCATTTCACCGATAGTGTACTTGGTGCTGCCGCCACAGTTGCCGTTCCGAGATGTACTGGCGGCCTGAGATTTCAGAGTGAAAGCCAGACTGCACGAGCGCATCTGAGGCCATGAAGAAGGCTGGAGCGCACCGCTCAACCGCCGTACAACTGCTCAACACCTCGAGGAATATAAGTGGTCGCGAACGCGAGTCGGGACAATCATGCGTCAAAGCACATCAGATTCCTGGATTAAACACGTATCTTCCCTTACGTGTCACTTCCCACCAAATGCCGTCCGGAAGGAAATACGAAAAATGAAAGGAAACTTCCCCTCATCTGCTCTGCCCTGGTTTTAATTGAACGAGTTACTGCAAACATTCATGCTACACACACTTTATCATTCTTTTCTACGAAAAAAAAGAAAATGCGTGACCTTGTTTTTTTGGGTGGTGTGGAAGAAAACTACGAAATCGCTTTCTCTATGGACGAAATTTTCTTCGTCAAAGCGCTATCAAAAAATACCTCCTGGTCCAGACCAGGTACATACCTACTGAAACACCTACTAGAACAAGGGAGATAATTTATCCTTAATATTTTCAATTTAATCTGCTACGAACATACCATTCCAAGAATTTGACGGGGATCACCTATTATCCGGATCCGTAAGGAAGGAAAGCGATTGCTACCGTCAAATTACCGCTTAATGTTCTTACTATCGGTAAATTTTTTGAACTTACGGTATACCACCATCTGGCCCGAAGAGTCCAATCCAATGAGGGTTCAGAAAACACCGATCAACCTTGGGCCATTTTGTCAGATTTTTGCGATGAGGCAACAATTAGAAGCTCTCTTCATTGGCATAGAAAAAGCTTATGATTACCAAGTAGTATGGCATTTTGCATACATTACACTTGTGGAGGGTCTGCCTCCTCCCTAACAGATCCCCGCCTCAGAAAGATTTTCTCCAATAGATCATTTCGTGTACGTACGCCAGAATGACGCCTGCAGCCGCCTCTTGGAAAACCGTTTTACTCAAGTATCAATCGTAAGTGCCCCGCTACCGCATTAACTCCGTCGTACGAAAACAAGTTAGAGCATCGCTATTCGTAGACAATGTTACCATCCTTGTTTCTACAGTAACCTAAACGACATCGAAATACTTCAACTGTCCTTAATAATTGTATCAATGGAGCGAGTTTGCGGGTTTTAATTTCTGAATGACAAAACGTGCAGCGTGCACTTCTGCAGAACCTACCATATCCATAACAACCCGGCGCTTTTCGTAGGTGGTCATCAGCTTCCCTTCGATGACAACGCTAGTTGTCTGGGACTCTTTCGTCAGCGTAGTTGTGGCGCAATCATTCCCGTAGGTTGCTGGCTATCTTCTCTTCAAGTCATTTACAGATGACCTTCCGTATTAACACTTTTCTCTTCAAATACCATTTACAGGTTGAAAGTATGTTGACAGATGCTGGCGAATTGTCTTTGAATAGAAAACGCGGTATTCGACTTGGAGCTAATGTGGCGATCTACGCGATCATGTGGCGATATCCTCTATTCTAATCACCGATCCTCGTATGACCCGATGCTATCATTTCCTTAACCTCGAGGTATCCGTTTTCAGAGATTGCTGGAGAATCGAAATGTTCACGTGTCTTCCCATGAGCAAATACAATTCTTCCTGGAAACTACCGCAGTTCAAAAATTATGCAATCTCCCAGAACTCTCTATTCACTTGTGTCTCGGGAGAGCAAATTGCGGAGCCACGATTGTATGCGAAGAGAGCCGAGTCGCTGTCAGTGAGTCACATGGCGGGAACTTTCAAACTTAAATTTGAAACTTGAATTTGTAACTATTATTAAATCTTTTGAAATGGACAAAAGAATAAAGTAATGAATATAACAATTACAATAAATTAGCAGTATTAGTTATATTATTGTATGTTTTTATAAATTGTTAGCATTTTCCTGAATTCATAAACGAAATATTAATATATGAATAATAATTAAATATTAACATGAATTATATAAATGTTAATATAATTAATGTTGATATTAATTAAATCTTTTCAAATTGGCAAAAGAATAAAATCATGAATATAAGAATCACAATTAATTAACAGTATTAGTTATATTATTGTATGATTTTATAAATTTTGCCTATTGGAGATATAACTTTAAAAAATCGCGTCAAAGATTATCTACTTCAATCAAGTGATGTGGAAATGATAACAATTTATAAAAACATAAAACAAAATAATATACCCAATACTGCTATATTAACATTTATATAATTAATGTTAATATTTAATTAATATTAATGTATTAATATTTTGTTTATAAATTCAGTTTTCTATCACGTATGTTTTGTGGTCATAAGTCTACAAGTTTCAAATTTAAGTTTGAAATTTCCCGCCATGCGACTCAGGGATAGCGACTCGGCTGCCTACGCATACAATCGTGGCTCCGCAATTTGCTCTCCCGAGACACAAGTCTCTCTATTCACCCTTTAGTATTCCTGAAATACTTCTATGAGAAGAGAGCAGCCTGTCCTGGCCACACGTTTTATACTGATAGTTAAGAGACCGGATTGTTATGTAATTACATGTTTTTGTTTTTCTACTTACCGTTCTCAAATTTGTAATCTTGGCGAACCGTCGCCGTCTTAACACAATATTCTCTATTCTAATCACCGATCCTCGTATGACCTGAAGCTATCATTTCCTCAACCTCGAGGTATCCGTTTTCAGAGATTGCTGGAGAATCGAAATGCTCACGTCTCTTCCCATGAGCAAATACAATTCTTCCTGGAAACTACCGCAGTTCAAAAATTATGCAATCTCCCAGAACTCTCTATTCACCCTTTAGTATTCCTGAAATACTTCTATGAGAAGAGAGCAGCCTGTCCTGGCCACACGTTTTATACTGATAGTTAAGAGACCGGATTGTTATGTAATTACATGTTTTAGTTTTTCTACCTACCGTTCTCAAATTTGTAATCTTGGCGAACCGTCGCCGTCCTAACACATGAGTTCCAAGTTTTTGGTTTCACATTTTTACACATTTGGTATTATATTACATATTTTGGTGTTTTAACGAAATATTTGTTTATACTTTCAAATTTCTCCAATGTTATCAGATTTTTTATGTACCGAAGGTTTTTAATCAACATTTCCCCCACATTATTACTGCGTGGTGTCTACTCCCAATGTGAAGACGCGTGATGTTCTCACAGTCCGGCGGCCCTGCTTCAGTATTCTGTGGCGGGAAGTGTGCGTCGGTAATGGATCATTTTTACCTTTCGGTGTGAAAAGCATCATTGGCGCCGTAGTTCGTGGCCTTTAACCTTTATTTCGGAAACATTGGCAAACGTGGACGTGTAACACTTCAATGAGAGCGCTTCACGCTGCAATGATTGTTTGCTAGTTGTAGATATAGCTAGTTTGTACGATGTCTTCTATTTCATCTAGTCTGGCTGCAAAACTGTGGACCTGGCTTGCAGTAGGTGCTTCTACTAATGACAAGAAATTTGTACGTTGCAAAGGGTGCATCAACTTGTTCTCTCCAAATAATTTTTAAGACGTGTGTATTATTTTTAAAATTTATTTAGGAATTTATTTGTAGATGTAATTTTGTATTATGTAAATGTGTTTTATAAGTACATTTTAATATTACATTTTATCCGATTTTAATATTATATATTCTTACTGTTTCCATTACATATTTATTTACACATTTTAACATTTATTACTATATATTTCGAATCATGTTCATCTCGAGAGGATGTACGCAGCGAGAAAAGTAGTGCATAGTGAACGTGTCACTTTTGACTCATTTGGCAATAATGCAGTACATGATTCTTCGTCTACTCTATTGTCGTCCCATTAGTACATTGTTGTAGAATATTATTTTGACAAAGTTTTATTATACTTTTGTGCCTAGTTTGACGGATTGTCATTTTAGCCTTATTAACTTTCGTAAAACCCTTTTCTTGAAATTGTAATTCCTTATAATCTTGGTTGAAAACGTTTTCAGTTTTTCTAGTTACAATAATGTCTGTAACAATTCTTTGTATCATGTGTAAACTGAAGATAGCTCGCTTTGCCGACATTTCTTCCTACATATTAAAAACAATCGATGCATATTCAACCCAAACGCGCGTGTCAGGGTGCAAGTAGATAACCCCGACTTCTGACTTATCATGCTTTATCTTATGTCAGATGTTCTTCCCGGAAGGTAAAGTGCGAAAGGCTCAGATAATTCGAAGAATTAACCGACACGTCTCTTTTTTAGTCAGAAAATTAAGATATTGTTTTTATCATTTGTATGCTTACGATTAACAATATTATGTATTTTGATTGCCCAAGGGCATAAATTCATTATTTTTATTGTTTTAAATGTAGATGAGTTAATGTTAAATACATGTGCAATAGAAATTTAGGATGTTTCCCTCCAAAATTGATTGTTATTGTCATTTCCGCGGCTTGTTTTTAATTTTCTGTGCTTTTATGAACTTAAACCGTAAGATTTCAGTGCCGCAATGGCTGATTCCTATTAGGCGTTGTTCACCCAAAACTGTCAGCAACTAATTGCGAAAATGAATGGAAATGAATCGACGGATTGGGCGCGTGTAGATCTGTGCTTTGATCGGTTGAGAATGGAATGAAACCCGGTTTCACGTTGGCACTGCGGTCGCGGCCCGGCGACGGCACATAACCGAGCCAGCAATTTCCTTTGGCAAGATCCGTTCCTTGGTGTATTTTCGACAGGAGCCATTTAGCTATGTCAGCCGCTGTCCGGAGGAGCATTCTAGTGGATGGCTGCTCTGTTCGATAGTTTCCCATGGTTTCTCCGATCAGTACTGTGCGAAGGCCATACCGGTACCGGAGCAAACGGGCAATGGGCCGCGCGCGATCTTTCCTTCCTCTTTCTTACTCTATCCTCTCCCCTTACACTTTTACATACACTGCACTATCACACATATCCGGAGCTTAGAGTTTGTCCCGCTTCGAGCGTATGAGAGATACCTGGAAATGGGAAATCTTCCTCCAAGCCGACGTGTAAGTCGGTGCGCTATCTCGCCGTCCAGCGGGGGAGGAACGTCGTATCCAGCAATAAAACATTCACTGCACTAACGATAATAATGACCACAGCAGTGGACATGACCAGAAACTTTAATAAATCAATCAAGTGATCAAAATGTCAATTAACCTGGAGTTTGTTACTGATTGGGGTCATTGCTTACACCGAGGGTGGCACGAAACCTCTAGATGCTTGAATAGGTGTCTTTCTGAAAATCTAATCTCTAATAAAGACTTAAAATTTACTCTGAAAGTGAAACTCTCTATAAGACCACTATTTGCAATGACGGATTTTTCTTTGAATTGATAGTGAATCCCTTATTTTTTATGAAAATTGTACCTTTTGAGTAAGAGTTGAGTGTACCTTTTGAGTAAGGGGGGTGTGCATAAAAAATAAAACGTAGAATTTTTTAAGAGAGTAGTGACTAGACAGTAGAGTAAAATTTTGTATAGCCAAAAAAAGTAGTAGTAGTCAAATTACAGAGTCACTACCGTACGTGGAATACTTCAAATACAGACGAAGATAGTTTTGAACAAGGATAGTTTCTTTTTGTTTAATTCCACTAGTGAATGCACCTCATTGGAACAAAAATAAAAACTTGTTTCAGCTGTTGAATTTGGATTTCTTCATTTTTATATGATGTATCTAAAACATTAAAAATACTGGTCGCTTATCTGCAATAAAAAAAAGTGTTTCTTCATTATGACACTAGTTTATTTTCATCCATTCCAGTTGAATGACTGTTTTTCTTTACAGGTTTTATGTATTCGCTAACTAGGGGTTTATTGTCTGATGATTTGTTTGAAAAATTAGTTGTTTTAAAATGAAACTCCATTTCTTTGTGTTAGACGTATTTGTGATATTATTTTGTATTTGAAAATGTTTTTACATATGGTTACAGTTCATTACAATAATTATTGTTCAGAAATTTGTTTGACTGACAATTACTAATTTACTGTAATTGATCATTACAATATATTGTTGCAATCAAAATATATAATACAAAAATTATTATATATTTACAGTATTTTGAGTATTTGAAGTTTTTTAAATATGTGTGTATTTAATACATCAACTCCTAATGTACTTTGTGTATGTATTTAAATACTTATTTATAAAGTATTTTGCCCAACCCTGACTATGGGGAATACTAAACCTTAAAATGATTCATACTTTTTCAAACCAAGAGGAGAAGCAGATATATATTTTTTAAATTAATGTAGAAAGATAGAAAAGAAAAGAAAATTTCTAAAAAGGCATTTACATCACAATAGGTAAAACTAAACTTAATCAAATTTTTCATTTTTCTTTATTTGTGCACATATGCTACAAGCCTTTTCATTTACAAAAAAATAGGTTTTATTGCAAAATTTTTGCATTTACAAAATCATCCCACATTGAGTAATAATCGTCCATTTTCTCTAACAAGTAAGATTCCTCTTATTAAGCAACCACCCCTCTAAAAACCCCTTTTTGCGGAACAAAGATAATAGACAAAATCTATTGCAGATTTACCTTTGCATATAGTTTTTATTACACTGGAGCAATTTTTTCTTATCAATTCTTGCCAGAAAATTCCTTGGGAATGCTTTAGATTTTTATTTATTATAGTCATAATGGTTGCAACAAAAATTCACACCAATAAATCACATAGTACACAACCTTTTACACTAAACGAGTTGATGAATCATTTCTTCTGAAACAATTTTTTTCATTTCATTATCTTGAATATCATGAACAAATTTCTTTATTTTGCCCCCTCTCTCCCTTTCTCTTTCTCATGTATTCATTCTTTGTCATTGTTTATATATACATAACAGAAAATTGTTATTGCTTTCTTAATAATTCTTTTATTCTTTAGACCGCAACAAAAAATTCCCTGGTTATCATTGATGAGCTTGGAAGAGGAACATCCACTTATGAAGGTTGTGGCATTGCGTGGGCTATTGCAGAGTGAGTAAAATATTTACATAGATAATGAAGATTATTTATGTAAATTCAAAAGAAATTAAAATATAAATTGAAGGAAACAAAAACATTTTAAATGGAATGTGTAAGGACTCAGTGTAATCTTGTTAGCGTGTTCCATATTACCATGTTTTCCTGCATATATTTCCATACTTAAATGACCCAATTCCAGTTCCATTGCATTGTGCATTTAATCCCTCTTAGCTCATTTGAAGTGTGTATCATGTTTTGCGATTCATTTAGCATATTAGCACATTTTCCAGGCAGCACCAGCACCACCACTACCACCACTGTCTTCAATGTGTGCAATTTCATAGACTTTGGGGTATGAGAAAGTAGAAAGGGGTACTTTCAGAGTATTCAGGGAGTTATGGAGAAGGGTTGCCAGATCATGGACTAAGGTTGCCAGATGTTTGAGAAAATGGTAAACTAGCCAAGGGGATACTCCACATAATTTTTTTAAACCTTTGTTATTTATTATATTAACTTTAGAATCATCTGCTTTGCTGTTAAATTAGTTTATCTCGTGTTTTTTGTGGTTTATTTACATATAAATTTGTCTCTATTATAGTATTTTGAAAACAGAAATGTAAAAAGCTTTTTTTTTTACATGTAAAATATTTTAAAGCATTTTTCCCTTAAAAAGTGTGCTAATGAGATTCCACTGCAGTTTGATTAGATGTAGAAGTGTGTTCTTTCATAAATTATTAGATGAGGAAATTATAGTGTGAAAATATGTGAACATGGATTCAAGATAAGATCATAAAAGAAGAGGTTAATCATGACTCATTTGAGCTGATCAGAGATTGATTATTCCAGAAAGAAATTGTCACAACAAGCTAGTTCAGATAAGGTCATGTTTCATTGACTCTTTTTTCTGACATGCCTACAAGTTCCATCTTCAGTTTTGTTGATGATGCTATCCAATGACAAAAACGACTAAGCCTTTGAAGATAATTTATTGATGTGATAACGATATGATTGTTTATTCACTGTTTCACTGCTCTCACAGATTGTCCATAAAAACTGAGATCAGCATTATCTTGCGTAGGAAATGATCAGCTTTCTCTTGTGTAAAAATTAGTGCCACATTTCTTTGATTAATGTTATTTTCTCCTGACAGGCATTTGGCAAAAGAAGTGAAAGCATTCTGCCTGTTTGCTACTCATTTCCATGAGCTTACACATCTGGCTGAAGAAGTGTCAACCGTTCAGAATTATCATGTTGAAGCAATAATTACAAAAGACAAGTTGGCTTTGACACATGATGTGAAACCTGGACCTAGTGATGAGAGTTTTGGCATCCATGTTGCAGAGATGGCTGGTTTTCCTCAACACGTAATAGATGTATGTATTGTTTATTAGTCATTACCTATTATTATTATCATTATCATCATCATTATTTTTATTGTCATTGTTATTTTGTATTAACCAGACTCATACAATTTGTACAGTTATGTGAAATGATAACATAGATCTGTGAAATAATATTTTTTCTCTGCAGTACAGAGTTGATCATACCTTTCAACCTAATTTGGATGTGCTGAATTAAAATATGCTTGACAATTTTTCTTAAATACAGTTTTTGTGCCTTGTGAAAAATAAAAATTCAGCTATAGTAATTTGTTGGTAGTAATCATACTTAGCAATGCTTTAATCACTGCAAAAAATGACAAAATATTAATAGTACTAATACAGTAGTTTAAAATTAATAGTAAAATATATAACTTACCTCAGAAAAATCTATTTTCTCCTCTGTTTAATTAAAAGCAAATATTCTGTCAATTGGCATGAATGAACACATCCAATGGCTCTAGTACCTAATGTTTTGTTTTATTGACACCCCTTGACCCTGTTTCATATTCCTGTGAACCTGTTCTCTTTGTTCTTAACTGAATGGTTCTTAATTTTCCAAGAACTGAAGATAAGAATGGATAAGATTTAACCTCAAGGTAATATCCCTTGCGAGTCCCGAATGTTTAGAGCATCATTTTAACTGTAGATGCATATTGAACATCTTTAACATTGTCCAGAAAATTGTTGATGAAGTCCCTGAATGAGACCGAAGGTTAAAGGCCAATGTCAGTCCTTTTATTTCTGAAATCAGTACTAATTAATGAGTGAATATTCAGGGCATCAAAAAATGCCTTCGTCTAACTGTTTGACAATAGTGGGCATTTTTGAATATTGAAGGCCAATTTCTTCCAAGGATTTAAGAAATTGCTATCGTATTTCAAGTTTGATATAAAAGGGGTTAGAAAAATTTCTGCAAGTAATTAGTGGGCAGTTTATTACATTTCTATTTTGGCAGTACATTAATTTCTTTCAGTGAAGCTGCAACTTCCCAGTGTCTTTCTCAAGCTCTGGATACCCATTCGTATAAGAAACGCTAATGTGTGAATCGTTCCTGTTGCCCTATGATATTTATATAATTTTTTGCACTTAAAAAAGAGTTAGAGCCAGTGTTATTTTCTGGTAAGCTGTTGGTGTATTGGAATCAAAACCATTGGTACATGTGGAATGGGTCTCATTGCTGATGGCGGATTTGTGCTGTATGATGGCTGTTGTGCTTTTCTTATTATAAGCAGATATTTTACTCATAAAAATTTGATTTATTACAATTATCTCATTTTTCAAACCAAACCATAAGAATTCCAAGCAGCAGTGTCTCCATTGAACAAATGTCTTAAATTGTTTATACAAGTTGTGCAAATGATATGTGGACAAACTCTTGATCATTGAAGTAATATTTCTACTACTTAACCCCACAATATCCACATATCTAAGAAAAGAATTTGGATAGTCCACACAGCCTCTTCTTTCTGCAGCTTAGTGGCTTAACTTCGACAAATCCTTGTTTTGGCATAACCATACACACAGGTTGCAGTCCAGAGTGTTTATGGCAATCAAAACTACGGTCCAAATTATTCTTTAATTTTTTGAACAGATAGTGGTAAATGGGCTGAACAACCTGTCATACGTTTCCTGCCTTTTACGTAATTTTTTGTTGGACTCGTTGTAAAGCCTATATATACAATGCAGTCTCTTCGTGCAACTGACAACTTGATATGAAGAGTGCTTTCCTTCTATTTTTTAAATATTTTACTTTCTCATATAAGTACTTTTTATATCTGGGTGAGTGGGTAGGTAGGTAGGTGGTTTTCTTCTTTTTACTCTAATATTCTTATGTATCTCTACCATTTGGTACCACATGTTTCATTCAATTTTGGTGGAAATCCAACATTTGTGAATTTGATTGATGTCATTCAGACATGGAAATTCGGTGAAAGGTTTTACAATGTTTATAATGAATTACTAAACGTATTTATCAAATTACAGATATTGGATATGAATTTTTGTTTTTATTTCAGGATGCCAAATCAAAACAGGCCGAGTTGGAAGATTATCAAGGATTGAATTTTGCTTCTGATAGAGCCTCAAAAAGAACGATAATAAAGGTAATTTCTTGATTTTTAATAATTGTTTTTGCATTAATTTTTTAAAATTTAATGTTAAAATATGATGAATGCCATGACAAAAACCCCACTTACATTTAAGTTTTTTATTTTAAAAATTTGCAAATTTTTTATTTGCATAAACTCATATTCTCCCCCTCCCCTCTACCCCACCCCACCCATTTAATGAGCTCTGCAGAATTCTGATTAAGTTTTTGTATCTAACATTTGTGACACGTGAAATTTAGGAAAAACAGAAGAAAACTAGAATTTTGAAATTGCTTAATGTAGGACTATCAACAAATATACAATTTAAATAAGCCTGTATTTGTTTTTATATTTTTTGCTACAGGAAGGAAAGGAGATAATGAATCAATTTCTTGAAAAATGTAAAAAACTGGATGTAGACAAAATGAGTGAATCAGAAGTGATGCAAGAAATAGATAAGTACAAGGAAGAAGTAAAAGCAAAGAATAATCCTTACATAGAAGCACTTTTCCTGCAACTTTCATCGTAATTTGTTTTCACATTTGAATGTGGTACAAATGAACTGAATGCCCTTCAAAATGTTAAATTTCATAAGTGGATATGAACACTCAAGTAAGTTATTTTATTGCATTCCTATATGAATTACTGAAGAAGTTAATATTAAAAAATTCAACATTTGTGATCATTTTGACTGAAATGCATAGCAAAATCATGAAAAGATTATCTTTGTATAAGAATGTATTGTATATAAGAAGTTGTACATGGAAAATACATATGTCAGCATGTGACTTTTCTTTTGTTGTCTTTGACACCACCTAACAACATTCCTTCATATGATTCCATATTTTCTTCCTGCTGTGCTGTTGTGAAGGTCAAACTCATTAATCATGAAAATATGATAACATTTTTCATCCATTTTCACATTTCATTTTTTCTAATTTATTTGTTTGGGTTTCTTTTAATCTGCCCGTTGAAAATTATTAATCAGTATTGCCTAGCATGTTCGCTGTGATTGCCGATAAAACATCTGCTACTATCAAATGATCCTAAAATGTATTGTAACTTTTTGCACAAGGACATAGTTTAAAGAGATTTAACAGTTTAACGAAAACAGTTTGTTGACAATGTCACGCTTTTTGAAAAATAAGGATCAAAATGCAAATATATATGCAATAATGCAAAAATGATATTTTCCACAGAATTTATGAACAAAACCTAATTAATGTTCATCCCTAGTACTTCACTGAATCTTGCTCCAGCATCCATTCCTTTACTAGAACAGAGTTGTAAGATTTATACAACTGCAACATAACAAAAAAATTAAAAGAATTCATTCACTTATTTTTGTATAAAAACATTAAACATTTATTTTAGTTTAGTTTTGTATAAGAGCATTAAATATTTATATTAGTTTTCTAGTTAGAAAATTGTCGTTGGTAATATGACATCAGGTGTTTGGCTGTTCTATCAATGGTCAGCTGTCTTGTTTACCACCACATTCCCCAACCTACCCCGATTATGTCAGGATCCATGTTTTGGAGGCCCTTGATACCTGAACATATATACTTTGTTGTTTTTTTAACATGGCACATGACATAAATCAGGTAGTACTGTGTCATTCAATCGGAAGTTTGAACGTCAACACAATGACATCGTTGTGATGATGTTTAAGTTCTCGATTGCATGAGACCATCAATGCCATGCTCCTCTTTAAAGAAATCATAAAATGCAATACAATAAAGTACCTTGCTCATTATAAAAAAAAAAGTGGTAAAAAAGAGATACACCAATCATCCAATAAGTATTCTTTTTCAAATTACAAAATGTAAAGAAAGTTTGGCCAAATGCCTTTTTGTAATTGTTACAATTTTGTGACTTTTAACAATAGGAATCAATTGTACTTAGGAAGTTGTTTTTGTAGATTTTAATTTTGCCTATTGTAGTTTTTGATGCCTATTTTTAGCATTTTGCCATATTTCTGCCATTTTCTTCCTTATTTACGCTTTTCTACCTTTTTTTATTACTTTTTCCTTCCTGGCACCAATCTCTATCAAGTTGGAAACATACTTGCCATCCTGGACAATATGAAGGCACGGTTGTGTATTGTCTTTCTGTGGACATGGAGACACCAGTGTCAGGTGGTGTTAAAAATCTAAAAGGGTAAGAAATTGAAGCCAGTGAAGATTTTTAATATTTTTCATTGTTGCTTTAATTTTCAATGTTAACCATGATGTACATATTTTGAAAACATGAAATGGAATTTGCTTCCTCCACCATTGAAATAACTCATTTCGTACTAGGTCTACTGGGTGAAATGGTGCTCATAAGGGGACAAATAGCGGAAAGTTGTGGTGTGATAAAATTTTAATTCTAGTGTATGTTTTTTATATCGCTTAACAGGAATATCAGGTTCGTCAACAAGAATTTTGGGTGGAAACACAATTTTAAGCATAAAAATGTAATTATCATGAGTCAAGTTTTTTTCCTTTTCTTTTCAAAATAACTCAAAAGCCATCCATTTATCGTAAGTAATGATTTTTTATGAAATAAAGGAAGATGAAGATACCTGCATTTAATAGCATTAAACTTTTTTTTCTTCAACTAACGGTGTTAGAAGCAAAAAACAGGAATTATCCAACCTCCATGTTCATTTAAAAAACGCCCGTTTTGTTGACCTGATATGAATTGAAATATCAACTTTCTCTAATGTTTGCTTTTATTTATTATACAGGAGCATAGAAGCTGACATGTGTACATCTATAATTACACAGTACTTTACATCATATATCACAATTAATAGTTTATCGTAGAATTTATCAGGTCACTTCAATTTCGTGGTCGGCTTGATCCAGTTTCATCTTGAAAGCCATTGCATTTCTTGTGGACATGTCTTGGTGGCAAGGCGTTCCTGGCTTTTGCAATCCTATTAGTAATAAATTGCACACAATGGTTAGTCTGCACTCTCTTTCTCCAATCTGTGTTGATACCCTCAAAGAATATTATCTGGCAGACTAATGAAAATTTCCTCAAATTTCTGTATGTCATACTCTCTGTTACGAATCTTGAAGGTCTCAATGAGTTTGCATCTTTCTCTTCCGAGCGCCAGTGACGTGAGTCCAAATTTTTGACATTATTATCGTAGTCCATGTTCTGTAAACCTATGGCAGTTATCTTTCACTGCATTTTTCCAAATGCTGAATGCTTTTTCGTTATTCGGTGGCCCTACAACATTAGCATATTCTGAAATTGGCTTCACGTAGGTCTATTTACTGGGACATTAAGTCAAGAAATGCCATGCAAATCAGGTAAGCGGAGACATTAGCCTTTTTGGCAACTTGCTTCTCCCGCTTGAGACCCTGTGATATGATCACCCCTAGGACCACCTGTGATTCGCTTTGCTCAACCATCATCTGCGGGATGTAGTATGGATTTTTAGGGTTTCTCTTCCCAAGAGGACTACGTTTGGAACCAGTATTTAGGGGAAGCAACCCATTTCCGAGACCATGCCTCTACTCGCACCAAATCCTGTTGTAAGTCATTATAGGAAGTACATGGATTCGCGAAGATCGTATTATCTGCAAAGCAGTTCCTGTTCAATCTTATATGTGGGCCAAGATCGCTGGTGTATAAGATGAACAGTATCGTGTCTAACACTGATCCCTGAGGGACTCCACTGGTAACTGGATATGAGCAGACAGCGCATCTTTAATTCTAACACAGAAGGATCTTCCTGATGAGTATTCTCTCAACCACAGCAGTAGCTTACCTATAATACCCAGTGTTGGCACTTCCAATACGCGTTCATGTGGAATATTATCGAATGCTTTTGCGTAACCAAGGTAAATTACATCTACAGGGTTCCCCGCATCCAAGGACTTCGTCGAGTGGTGACGTGAGCTCAGCAAGTTAGTCGTAGTGGATCTACGACTCATAAACCCATTTTGTTGGCTGGGTATTATGCCCTTACTGCGTAGTCCCGGAACCTGTGGACGATGACGTTTCCCACTGTACTAGTCAGGGTAATCAGTGTGTAATTTTTGGGGAGTCGTTTATCGCCTGTTTTGAAGATGGATGTCATCATTGCACTCTTCCATGTCGAAGGGAACCTTCCTTGAATCATGGACCATTGGAACAACCGTGTCAGTGTATATGCGAGTTTCAGTGCACAGTTTTTCAGGAAGATTGTTGGTATGCCATCTGGTCCGGCGGCCGAGTTTGCATTTAAACCACTGAGAGTTTGAGCGATTTCTATATGGCCGAAATCGACGTCCTCTAGAGAATCTCCAGTCGCAGCGACTTCGATGCCATCTCCAGGGTCCGGTGCGGTCGTATACACGTTATGGAATTCCCTTGCAAACGTTTCTGCGATTTTCTCTGCATCAGTGATACTATCTACGTCAACATCGAGGATGACCATCGGTATGTCCGCCTTTGAGGTCAGCTGTCCACGAATGTAAGAGTAAAATAAAGTTTCTTTCTCTATGATCCCCTGATTCCTCTTCCATTCTCTCGAGTTGCTGCACAAAAAATTGTTAATGATCTCGTATTTTTTTAATCTTCTGGCTTATTTGATGTGTAAATAGACCACAACCGTGCTTTATTGTACTGTTGACATCTTTTTAATATTCCTATTGAACCATGGTTTCCCATGCCGATTCCTGGTTTTAAATGCTGGTGAGTGGGACGATAGGAGGTCTATTGTGCTATCAACAAAAGTGGAGTAGAAGTTTTAGATGGCATCAATTACCAGGTATAGATGTTTAAGTTCTCGTTTGATCACTATGAAGTCGGCAAGGTTGAAATTTTTCTTGTTATTCTGGGAGATACTTCTACCACAGTGCATTGGCTGGCCTGCATTTTGGTCTCAATCATGAGGTGATCGCTTAGGCCAATTGCAGCTGGGGGAATAGTAACGTGCTCATCATTTGTCAAGATCAAATCACTTTTACGTTTTTCTCTGATCAATCGCTTAGCCACGAAGGAGCGCTGTGAAATTAGATGTTTTTAATGTATACTTTTCTATCGGTATTTAGCTTGTGAACTTGTAACAATAAATTACTTCCGCAAAGAAAGGTGTTAGATTTTTACCTGAAGTGATGGAATGAGCAATTGGAATGACGTCTGTGCTACATGGTGGTGAACACATACATCAAAAAATCTTTTGTTAGGTTTTACCATTCGGAACAGCACATAGTGCTGAAGCACTCCAGGGTAGATCTGATGACGAGGATGAAACTAAGATCAATCAGCGGTTTCTGCAGCATTTTCCTTTGCCTGAAAACCTGGACGTATTATCGATCAGCTCTGGCATTGGGACTGATAATATAATTATATACATCTAATAACAAAATTGTTTACTATCACTAACATATTTTGTTAATTAGATTGGTCCAGAGTTTTTTCTCAACAGTTTATGTATCTCAAAAGGTTATTCAGATCTTCACAGCAATCACATCAGAAAAAGTTTATTCAGTTTTTCAGAGCGGCGTTTCGGGGAATTCATTTTCCCCATCTTCAGACTAGACAATAAACGAGAGAATTAATCTAAATATGTTAAAAAGAATATGAATAGAAGTTTCACGGAAGATATTGGTTAAATAAAAATATTCTAATGAAAATAACACTGGATATAATCATAACAGAGACTCACCAATTCAAACAAAAAAATACAGTAAAACAAATATAATGCATATTTTCAGAAGAGCGTGCAAAGCATTTACGCAAAGCAAAGCTGTTACAAAGAGCACAAAGCAAACAATCAGCTAAGATCTTGTGAGGAAGGGGGGG